GATAAAGTGTAAATAAATTTGTTTTGATCGATTTTTATAAGAAATTTTTATTGGCTAATTAAAATTTGCAAATATCATATGTGATAAAATCGATTGGAGTCAAATTGGCCCATATGATATAGTAAGACATTCGAATGATTGGTTAATTTAAATCAATTGCCCGGGCAACTTATTTATGCATTTTAGGGTAATTAATTTTTTATTTTACGTTCCGAACTACGTAGGATGATGATTTTATGCAAATCACATAAAACCACATAAACCGCATAATTTAATTGACAATACATAATAGGTTAAATTTGCCGCATAATTCTGTATAAAGTATGTTGCTATTAAGTAAATTTGCATAATTGGCCAGTTTTGAAAGGGTATCCTTATGTCAAGAAAATCCCAAGCTGCCGGCCGAAAAAATATAGGTTGTAGTATCTCAAAAATTCCCTATATATCTAACATTAACAATTGTGTTCTATGAGTAAAATTTCATTCTGAAAACTTTTACTTAGAGGTCAGAAGTTAGATATCATAGTAAATTTTTGTTATTTATATTTTTTACAATTTCTTATATTTTCTGTATTTGTTTTGTTAATTCTTCAGCCTGAGATTTTCTTAATAACATAAGGATACCGAATAGAAAATTAATCAACACAAATTACAAGCAAGTTCGAAAAAAATTTATAGTGCTACATCTGAACTACACCTCTTAATAGTAGTTCAAGGAATGTAGCAGTTATAGTATGAAGACTATGACATTGTGATTATTTAGGTAAGGGTGTTGAATATATAACTTAATAAAGAGGTTTGACTAGGCTTTACTGAAAGAGGTGGCAACTAAATATATAAGAAGATACAAATAGTTATAATAATTATATGATATATTAAGTATTTAAAGTGTATATTATATAAGCTTATAGACATCAATGTTCTCAAATGTATATAAGGTAATCTAAATTTTATTCAATAAATAAATATCAATCGTGAAGTTTCTTCACAATAATCATGTGGTCAAGATCATTATGTTATTTAATGATATAATTTAATTTAACATGTATGAAAACATAATTATTTATTATAATAAAAAGGTAAATAGATACAATAATAATTATATTATTATAAGAAAAAGAGAAAATTTTGAACACTACCTCTACTAAGTTGAAAGGTCAAGTTTTTTATACATGTTTTGTCAGGTTATGATATATAATTCTTTTATCTTTCTAATATCTAATATTAACTACAACTTTTGCTAATCTATTAACTACAATATGAAAGGCCATAAAAATATAAGATTAAACAAAAGAGCACAATATATATAAGCTTACTCATATAGAATCGATTGGATCAACATTTGATTTTTGAATATTTTTACATTTTTATCAAAGTCAGATAATTCATAGTAGGGATGTTTATCTTGATCAGGTGAACAAAATCTTATATAACAATTTCTCTTCTGTTTAATTATGAGCTTCTGCAAATAAGTATAGATAATAATATATACCAACTTGAAATATTTTATGAATATTGTTTATAGTAATCAAGCTTTTTTATAATATTTTTTCAATATAAAAGCATTTTGTGATGCCTTTAGAATCTGATTTTTCAAAGTTTATATACATCTTACATAACACAGATATAGATAATATATAGTTCTATCCATTTGAAGATAATTTACCAGTATATCTTCCAAGTTGAGCTGCATTGAATAAGAGAACTTTATCACTTGTATTAAAGATATATAACCCTTTTTAGATTTTTATCCTATTGAAATTTTTATTATTGTTATGCTTTACTAATATTTTCTTTAGTTAAGGCACAATTAACTATTAAATTATTCACTAATATATCTACTTGGTTTATCATAGTTTTTTCTATTGGAGTGAATAACAAAAAATCTGGAAAAGTAGCTTTATATCTATAAGTAAGATAAAATGGAGTGAATTTAGTCATTGATTGTTTAGATGTTCAATATGCAAACAGTACTGATGATATTAATGTATTATATTCTCAATCTTGATTAACTAGTTTTGCTAAAGATTCATATAAGATGTAGTTATATCTCTTCACTAAACCATTTGTTTAGGGATAATATGGTGTTGTTAGTAAGTATTTTATTTCAAAATTTTTTGTTAAGAACTTTAGCACTTTGTTATTAAAATAGTATCCTCTATCTGAGATTATATGAGCAGAACATCTATACTGACAAATGATTTCTTGATAAATAAAGTAAGCTGTTTGTTGAGTATCGGCTATAGGTATAGCTTGAGCTTCAGACCATTTTGTCATATAATCAATAGTGACAATAATATAACAATTTATTTTTAAAGTTTGTTTTAAGGGTTCTACAAAATCAATGCTAATTTTGTAAAATAGTACTTCAACAAGTATAGGTTATAAGAGGCCACAGAGTCTATATTTTCCTTGCTTTTAATATTAGTTACAAGTTTTAATATATTTACAAATATGCTTAGATATTTGGGGCTAGTAATATTAAATACGAATTTTGGCAAACATCTTTTCTACTTCTAAATATGCATCTAAAGGATAACTATACATAAGATATAATAATGGAGTTAATTCTTCTTGTCTTATTACTCTTAATAACTGAAGTTTCTTGCTTTTTTGTTGATCTTTTTTATAAAGCAATTGATTATAAATTACTAAAAATTTGCTCAGTGAATCTAATGATTTCTTTTAATAAAAATTAAACTATGTTGAATATCAAGCTGTTTTTAGAAAACTCTTTAAATATGCATATTTAACTGAGTCTATTTCTCTAATTTAGTAAAAAAAAATAATAATAGAAAAATAAAAAAAATAATAATAAAGAGAAAATAATAATAATAATAATAATAATAATAGATATAGTTTATTATTTTTTTTTTTAAAGGATAGTTGACTATATAGTTGCAGTAACCAGTTTGTAAAGTTTAATGTCATTTGTGAATAATCATAGATTTTTAGTTAACAAATAATAGTAAAACTAATAACCTTTCATCATACTGAATTATAAAGATATATATCTTTAAGGTTGTTATATTCATCTATTTGCCAAAGTGTTGGTGTATACAAGGATTTAGCTATTAGAGCCTATTTAGTAAGTGATTTTTTGCATCATTTTGTTTAATTAAATCTTTGATTCTAACAAAAATTTTATTTTTTTTCTTAAATCTGAATTTCTTATTTATTTGGGGTGATTTTGCAATATCATATACTCTCAATAAGTTGTTCATTAGATTATCATCTTCATTTGGAGTGAATAAGTAGCTTTCAATAATTTCTTATACTGGATGTTTTTTATCATAACCTATAATTTTAAATTATAATAACACTTGGCACAATTATTTTCTGATAAGTATAATTAATCTTCATATCAACATTGTGCAAGAGGACCTTTCCAATCACATAATAAATGCTTCTCATTTGTTTTTTAACCAAAATGGCTACTAATATATTTGATATAATAGTTATTTTATCTAATCCAGTCTTTAGTAAACTCAACATTTTGATATGGCTGAATGTTTACAATAATGTGTGCAAGTAGATCAAACTACAATACCTTTAACACTTCTTGGTAAGCCTAATTTTTGTAATTTTCATTTTGAGATTCTACTTCAACTTGATATACTTAAACCTCGATTTCTTCTGAATTACTAACTAATCATAACAAAGCATAGGCATTATAATGCTTATGATCAGGCTAATAAATAATGATAAGGTTATATAGTTCTAGTCTAAGAATTTACCTTGTCTATTTATTTTTTAATTCTGAAGTTCTCAATTACTACAATGACGAATGATTTGTAATAAAGAAAAATGGTTTTAACTTCAAATTTTAATGAAAATATTCTATTGCCCAAATAATAGCAAGACATTCTAGCTCAGATATAGAATAGTTTTGCTTTAGTTTATTCAAACTTCAACTAGCATATACAATAATATATTCTTTATTATTGTTATCTAACTGAGCTAATACAGTATCTAATTTTAGAACTAAAGCATCTATATAAAAGTAAATAGCCTATTAAAGTTAGAGTGTCACAATACCAAAGAGGTAGTTAAATAGGCTTTTAAGATTTGAAATACCTTTTTTAGATATCAGACCAATAGTATAGTTTATCTTTTTTTAAGAATAAATTCAACAGCTTAGTGATTTTTGCAAATTTTTTAATAAACTTCCTATAATATAATGCAAGGCCCAAAAATGATTATATTTCTTTAACTATGATAGAAACAAAAAAGTCTCTAACTTTTGAATCTTATTATCATTAGGTAATATTCCATCAGTACTAATTACATATTCTAAAAATTTGATTTTATTTTTAAAGAATAAACACTTTTTAACATTTAATTTTCAACTCTTCCTGATGATCACTTATACCAACCTAACACCGAAAACAAGTTAAAGATTCAAGCCTAGAAGTCAACAACCTTTGGGAACAGCAAGTAAAAAAGAAAACTAAAGTTTGTTTGAAGATAAAAGACTTTGAAGAACTCTTGAAACAATACTCCTTGGTTGGAAAACTCACAGAAACTCGATATTTTTCTGCTGTCTTTTAGCTTCAAAATTTTTGATAAAAAGTAGAAAATTCGGCTTACCACCTCCAAAAGATCAGCATTATTTACCACTTCCATATCAGGAAACTAGATGATGCCAAATCGGCATGTATTATGAAATGAATGAAATGATAACAACAAGTCATGTAGAGTTTTTAAAGTCTTTATACTTTCGGATGAAGATATGGATTTAATTGAGAAAAGTCAAGCAAAGTGTTTTAAGATATACAACATGTCCCTTGTATATAATTTTAGCCTCTAGCATGAGTTATAGTGCATTTTGTTTTAGTTTTATGTTTTCATTTTTGTTAAGACTCTCGTACTTAATAGAAGATCGTTACTCAGTATAATTAGAAGTTTTTGCCTGATCAGCAGGTTTTCTTCTTTTTAGTGATAGTTTCTTTTAGATTTTTAGTTTAGTTTTTATATTCCTTAATATTAGTATTCATTTTCTTTGATATATTTGTTTTTATTATATATCCTTTTTTTTGTTCCCTATTATCCTTTTTTTTTTTCTTTTTTCCTTCTCTACAAGAAAGTGTTATCAGTTTGGTAGCATTCTATTGTAAAGCGGGAATCTTGATAGGGCGAACAACAGCCAACTGAGGAATCTGGGAAAAATAAGTTCAGAGTGAGTTCTGGATCTCTGAAGGTGGTCAAATGTTGCTAGACAGGTCATATCTGGGCAAAACACAGCAGTTTAATGGTTCACCTGACTGCAAGTAGATGTTTCAACATCTGCAAGGTATGCTGTGAGTAAGTTTACTCTTTGGTTAGAACACTATATATTTAGATTTCTTTGTATGCTGATGTAGAAACAAAAGTCTGTTCTCATAATAAAGTAAACAGGATTGCTGAAGGAAAAAAAAAACATTTAATTTTAAAACACTTGTCAAAGGTGCTTTATATAATCCTCAAAAGTTTTAAAATATATTGTAATGTTATCCAGATATACTACTACAAACTTGTTGATAAAAGGTTCAAAAATATTATTCATCAAATATTAAAAGGTTAATGACATATTGCACAACCTGAATGGTATTATATTAAAGCTGTAAGTGCTAAACTTTGTAATAAAAGCAGTTTTAGGCTGATCTTTTTCTCTGATTGCTACTTGCTAATATTCACTAGAAATATCAAGATTAGTAAACTATTTAGCACTCTTGAATACTGTTAGAATCTTATTAATATTAGATAAAGAATAAACATCCTTTTTTGTTACAGAGTTCAATTTATAGTAATTGATGCAAATTCTTTTGTTACTATTTTTTTTAGAATAAGAAATATAGGCAATGTCTAAAGACTCTTAATTGGTTTGATAATTCTTTGCTCTTCCATAGCTGATATCTCTTTCTGGAAGAACTCTTGATTATCTCAAAACATACTATATAGTCACTATTTAATGAATAGAGCACTACTAATATTAATTTCATAATATATTAGGTTAGTATATTTTAACAGGACCTTGAAGAACTCTGATACAACTCAGATCTGAGTTTGTATAATATTAACCAAATAGACATATAAAATAGGTCAAAATTTAAAAATTTTCTATATAAAAATACAACATTTGATGAATTTCTATGCAAAATTTTCTTTTTTAATAACCTCTAAATTATATTAAAGTTCTTCAGAGTCCTATCCTAGCTCAACTATTTGACTCATTTTACTAATTTTTTCTGCAAAAACATTAATATTTTTTTTTGTAGCAGATTTCATACATATTGTTATTGATCTACTAACAAATCCTTATTTATATTGAAAAGAATCTTTTCTTGTTTCTGATGACTTTCTAATGATTCAGTTAAATATACTGCTAGATTTTGATCTATCTATAGATTATAATATAATTCTTCTTCCTCTGAGACACATTCATTGGTATAAAAAGCTTCATAAATCTCTTTACTATTATTTTTAAGTTTATTAATCTATTTATCTTTATCAATAAATTCTTCTAAGTCTTGTTTAAGAACTCTATTACTTATATGTGTTGCATTAATGATAGCTTGTTTATCTAGATATCTTATATATAATATACTTTTATCAAAGTTTAATTTAACCTTAGACTTATTAAATCAATCTATTCTTAGTAATAAAGTCTCTTCTTAGAACTTGATTATCTGCAAATCGATAGGTATCATTATACTTTGTAAAGTTATTCAAACTTTGCTAACTACTTCTAAAGCTTTAGTCTTATTTTTATTTGCCGTTTTTACTACAGTATTAGAAGGCTAATCAATTACCAACCCAAGTTTTTTTTATTAATCTATTAGTAATAATACTAATAATAGCACCAGAGTCTAAGATAGCAACTACTGAGTTACTTTTAATACATATATAATAATGTATTGCTATAGTTTTTTGTTTGTTATTAGCTTGTGAATAATTGGCTT